GCCAAGATTCGATTGTCGCAGTCCCGCGCAAAATGCAATAACACTATCATTTCCGTGGACTTACACTATTACATGTAACTGGTTTTTCTATCTCATCACGGAGTGCACAGTACTGTGTGTAGGGTGCACAGCCAGAGTTGTAATATAGCAAGACTTCAAGTATCGGTCGTCGCGAGCCCCACGCCTGCGGTCGGAAAGTTACAGCAAACACACATAAAGTCAGCATTAACACTATTTTGGGTGGCACTTTTGTGCAACGGCTGGCAGCGTTTATCCGGCAAACCGGGTACCTTGCCCGTATCCGTCTTTTCTATCTGCATTTGCGCTTTTCCACGCAGCCTAAGATGGACGTGGAGCTTCCGACGTCGCGCGGCCAACTGCCCGCACGGAAGCCTTCGGAAGCCGACGAGTCGGACGCGTATGACCGCAGTACTGTTCTGAGCAGCGTTGCCGGCGACGACGACGACGACGAGCATGGTCCGCCGGCGGCCCACTCTTATGCGCGGTCGCCGTCCGTTGTCTGGAGCGAGCTCCGCGACAACATAGCGCCCGTGACATGGTACTGCCTCGTGGCTGCGCTGGCCATCTGCGTTGCCGTCATGATCAAGACGGGCGTCAACTTGCTCTTTGTGCACATCCTCATGATGACGCTGGGCTGGGTCGCGTTTTCGTCCGAGGCGATGCTCGTGTACCGGCCGTTCGACGGGCTCAACGCGCGGTCGCCAAACAAGCGGATTCAGCGCAACATCCACAAGTTCATGCACTACGCCGTGCTTGCGACGACGCTTCTGGGCCTCGCGGGCATCTTGATCAGCCGCGGCATGGCGGGCAAGCGGCTCTTCCCGCACAACAAGCACGGCTGGATGGGCTTCATCACGGTCGCGCTCATGCTGCTGCAGATGGAAGTCGGGCGCCGCAAGCTCAAGTTTCTCCAGTTCCAAGGCCGCACGATCTTCGAGTGGCATGGGTTCGTCGGGAAGCTCACGTATGCCAGCGGTATTGCATCGACCATCCTCGGTCTCACGCATGTCTTCCGCGACGATATGGTCTACGTGTGGAGTGCAGTCGTCATGTCGGTCGTCGTTTTCGTCGTTTACGCTTACGTTCGCCGCAACAAGACGGCTGGTTACGCCGTCGTGGACCAGCTCTAGCTTGCTTCGCTCTAAATTTTAACCCATATCCCTTTGGCTATACTAGTACGATATACTTGAACTGATCTACGGTCGCCGGGACTTGCCAAAGAAAATTGAATGCACCAAGAGACTCGGTTGTGGCAAGAGCACTTCTCGATGCTGCATGACGGCTGAGAAGAATCGTTCTCCATCGAGAACAGACCAACAGCGATACCACTACGGAGTGGCGTTGTCCTTCTGCCGGTGACTAGGCGCAAGAGTACACAAACTCAATTGCGTTTACGTACTCTTTCTAGGTGGCTAGGTGGCTAGAATCGTGAGTGTTTTTCGTTTTAAAAGTTGTCGAAGCGTTCATGTACCCTGAGTCATTAGTCCAATTGGCTCAAATTTGTAAACGGGCGGCGCGCACGCAGACCTTGAAGCAGTTCGGACCGTGTCTTGGGGCGGACGCTCGAGTCTTCGTCGTCGTCGTCGCTTGAGAGCTACGCGAAGGGCAGATGAGTTTACCGCCGACTGGGAAACGCGTCATACCTCGTGGCACGACGGCAGCACGGGTGGCTTGTGTAAGTAGGGAGCAACCTTGGCCTTTTGCTGCAACGACTCCCACGTTTCTCGCTCCACTGGCCCAGGACGGGCGTCGGTTGCGGGGATGGACGTCGTTACGACTTGTGAGTCAGCCATCAGCGGTGCGTAGGCAGGTACAGAGTCCTTCTGCGCACGGAGCACGGGTGCTGGTGGCGGCAGCACAGCAACTTCTTGGGAGTTCGAATACACGGGGTCGATGGCCGACGAGAGGGTTTCCATTTCGGCTGAGTGATGCTCGTCCACGCTGGTCGTGGCTAGCTGTTTGACAAGCGCTTTCACCTCCGGCACTTCCTGTGCCTTTTGTTGCACTGTTTCTTCCGTCTCGGGCTTTTCCTGGTCGACAGCACCTGATCCTTGCGCGGTCTCGACGGCTTCCTCGGGAGACAGAGGCGCCTCGATATTGCGTTGGGCCTCCGTCGCCCAGAACGCTGATCCTATCTCCTTGATCCCATCGCCTTGGATGTTCATCCTCTCGTCCAGCGCATCTTGACGGGCTTGGGCTTGCATTTTGCTGTCATATGGAGGGACGGCCCCGTGGGATTGGATAGGAGGTATGTCACCGACAGCTTGACGTTGCTGAAGCTCGGCTTGTTTTTTGGCTCGAATCTCGGCTTGCCAGTCGCGAAATTCTTGCAGCGTGCGGCGGCGCTCATCGTGCTACGCCACATGTGAGACCTTGACATCCCGCGGCGTTTACCTCGTTTTGAACGAACGCGGCGCGTGCTTGCGCCTCGGCCTCCGCGCCGCCCGCTTTCCAAGCAACCGCAGCCGCGCGCTCCAGGTCAAAAATCGGACGGTCGAGGTATCCCAGCTGCGGCAGCGACGTGATGTACGTCTTTCGAAAATACTTGGTCTTGGAGACGGCCTCGTTGCCTACGCAGCAACCATTGTTGGGTTTCACTTGCTACGAAGTAGACGGGCGTACCAGTGAGGCGCAGCGCGCGAAGGTGGATCATGGACTCGAACACTGACAAAATGCCGGGATCTAATAGCTGGTTGTGGCTCAGATCCAAGTTGGTAATCGACGGCGTCTGCGTCAAGGCAGCAATGTCCGTCACATGCTCCAGTCGATTCTTGGCGAGATTCAGCGACGTGAGCTGGTCGAGGCATTCGAGACCCGCGATCGTGTAGATGCTGTTTTCACTCAGGTCTAGCGTGGCGAGGTTGCGGAGGCACTACGCTTTCGGGTGGTTTTCTTGCACGTTCGATCTTCTGGCTACCTGTAAGTTTTCGACCTTCTCGAGCAAGTTTTTGTTGAGGTAGAGGCACCGAAGCTGTTGGAGCATGTCGAGGTTTTCAATCTTGCGAAGGTTGTTGGACTCGAGCCAAAGCGCCTTGAGGTTGTAGAACGGCTCGAGACCCTCGATCTTTTGGAAGCCTTTGAAATGCGCAAATCTAGCAAACGGCAAAGTCGTATACGCAATGCAACCAAAGCCAGCACGTACAGGTTGTCGTTGAGCTCGGGTGTCTCGTAGCCGTCGTTGTCGACGCAGATCTGCGTAAGCGTCGCGAGGTCCATGACCGGCATTTGACCCTTCTGCTTCTCGCGGAGCTTCTCGCGGTCCTTCTTGCGGAGTCGGTCCAGCAAATCCACTTCTTCGTTGTTGCTCAGGAACATAGCGGTCTCGAGGAATGAAAATGCTATCTGCTCACCATCCATGGAAGACACCGTTTCGCAGAAAGATCGCGATCCGTGGATCTGGATTGGCAGAAGCGTCCAACCAATCCGCGCATTCCCGAACAATAACCCTGCAAGCCAATGGTAAAACGCTGTTGCATTGATCGTGCGACGGGAATAATGGCTAGCGTTGCTGGTACTCATGAAATGGCTGGGATTCATCGGTGGCCGACGAGTCTCGACGCAAGCTGAACTACATCATGTACTCCTCACAGATCAACCTTAGCGAGTAGTGCCCTCGAGTAGCTACTCTAGCATCAGATCATGGACGTCATTCGCGTCCGAAAGCAATCCTAGCACTTGTATGAAGTCACGGTATGAGGTGGCACTGGTACGGGTCACCTTTATGTGCGCATACCTCGATTTTAAGGTCCAACGAACTTGGATAAACAAGATTGTGGTGTAAGTGCTGCTATGACATAGTGCCACTCTGCGGATTCCACGATTGTCCGAATCTGGTGAAAGGTACACTGGTTTCAACTGGACGAGCCGCCCTGCTCGACGAGTACCTATTACCACTGAACTATTGCTACTTTACAGCAGTGTTGAGGCGAAGAAGGGGCGAGCCTAGCCTTCCTTTAGGCCTACAAAGAGACGTGTAGAGCACGAGACATGGATGTTTTGGTGCTTGTCGGTGGCTTGAGGTCGGACATTTCGAAGATAATATCTTCGAAATGTCCCATCACAAATGATATTATCATTTGTGATGTGGCAGCACAAACGCGCATCGGTGCGGCGAAGGTTCTTTACTGAGTAGATTGCTCGCTCGCTCCACCACCCATTAGTCTCTCGCCTCTCGTCATGTCACCATCACGAGTCGTCACCCGCCACGATAAAGATGGATGACGACGTCGTGGCGCGATGAAAGATCGCTCGTATGGCTTCTGATTGGCCAGGCTCGTCCATTTTATCCAATCCAATCGCGTTAAGGTCGCCACAGTTTGGCCACCGCATTTTCTAGTTGTCGAGTGTCAGATGACCGACCTCTTCCTTCACAGAGCTTGTGATGCAGTGTGGTTTCCATTGCTGACTTGTTTACTCGCCTTCGAGGTTGTTGCTGCTCAGACGAGTGCACATCATGTGGCCCACTCTTTTCTGTGTCAAGGTTTGTCCAGTTGTGTGTTTGATCGCGCTGAAGAAGAAGCGCCGAGACAGAACATTATACCGCGTGAACATTGAAAAGAGGCTACTGCGTAACAGCGTATCCATCGTTGAGCATCGCATCGTCCACTCGAAGCAACGATCCAGAGCGGCCATTACGTGGATGTCCAAGCTACGTACCCTATTGATACAATCCTGATTTTGTCCCATCGAAGGCGGTAGCATGGCGGTAGCCATGCACAGAACAGGGCGCCACTGCAGTGCATGTCGCGTCTCCTGCTCCATCGCATTTACCCAGAGTATCTTGACACTTTGGTCGACGACCGAGCCCGAGCTCAATCATGTGCGTCCAAAACGAGCCAATCAGGTGTGCCGAACCGGCTGGATTTGACCACTTTTGATTTTCCACCCGGGTCCCGAGAAGAAGCCGATGACGACGACGATGCCGGGCCGTCGGGACGGGACCCACCACCGGAAGAAGCACCGCTGTGCAGGGAAGCAGGCGCTCATGGAGGACGGAAGCATCCACGGCAACGGAGCGCAGCCCAACCGTCCCAGCACGCGCCTCTTCCGCGTTGAACTACGCACCCCGGAGCGACTGCGTCGGGGATACCCCACCTCCTGCGCGATTCAACGACCCCCAGCACCCACAAGGCCGCTACTCATGGCCGGCACCACCTCGTCTGCGACAAGAGAAGCGATCTCGCCGGTGCAAGCCACCGAGCGCGTCATGGCGTCGCGTGACCTACTCCGATGCATCTTCACGTACCAGGACGGAATCGTCGAGACGCTCCGGGGAGTCTACTGTGCAAAGGGCGTTTGGTTCAGTACGTTCTCGCCGCGAGACTTCATTCCCATGCACATGGGCCCATTTGGTCGCAAGCGGGAAGCGCTCCTCCAGTGCATCGTCTCGGACCGGGTTGATCTTATCAAGGATTTTTTCCGGTGCTTCCCCACATACGCCCAAGACGATATCCGCTTCAAGGAGATCATTGACGCAGCACTTATGCTCAACCGAGTCCACGCCTCGATGGTCCTCCAGCAGCACAAACCCACCTACCACTGCACCCCACGTGTGCTCCGCAAAGCCGCACTGCGTGGCCACCGACCCGAGCTTCTGCCCAACCCGTGTAATGCTTCGACCATGGCCGCTGTCTGGCCCATACAAACCACATAGAAAAAAGACCTAGAGCCCAACTACAACTACAGTATCGTCCTATCTCCCATCGACATCTTGCTTTGTTGTCGATCCTGTGTCAGACAGTGTTTGAACGTTTGGTCCCACTGTTTCTTTTTCAACCAATCGCAGGGGCCATTGTATAAATGAGGTCATTGATTGGTCAAAACCCAAAGCCGCAAACGACAGATCTTGGAGCAAGGATGGCAGCAGACTTTGGCGAGGTACGCCGTCGCCGGCGCGGACTACTCGGGCTCAAGGACCGAGTGTGTAGCTCGTGCTGATCGTGGGCGACTACCACATTCCCCACCGCGCCATGGACATTCCCGAGAAGTTCAAGAAGATGCTCGTGCCCAACAAGATGCAGCACGTGCTCTGCACGGGCAACCTCGTGACCAAGGAGACCTTTGACGAGCTGCGCGAGCTCGCGCCCAACGTCCACGTCGTCCGCGGCGACTTTGACGAGGTGCGCGCCATTCACTGCCGCGGGTGCTCATCGCATCGCGTAGAACACGACGTTTCCGGACAAGAAAGTCATCACGATCGGACAGTACCGCATTGGATTGTGCCATGGCCACCAGGTACGAGCCCGAGTGCCAACGCAGCATCTTCATGACAGCGGTGCAGATCGTTCCGTGGGGCGATGTCGACAGCCTCGCCGCGCTTCAGCGCAAGGTGCGAATTCCATCTCTTTTGGTGTCGTCGATTCCATCGAGCGTGGCAGATGAACGTCGATATCCTCGTGACGGGTCATACGCACCAGTACAAGCTCCACGCGCAGAACGGCAAGTGGTTTGTGAACCCTGGCTCGATCACGGGTGCGTACGGCAACTTTACCCCGTACGTGTGAATGGTACATGGCCTTTCATCTCATGGATATACGGCGGTAGCGATGTCGTGCCCAGCTTTATCCTCATGGCCATTCAAGGCAACAAGGTAGTGGCGTACGTCTACGAGCTCAAGGGCGACAACGTCGTCGTCTCCAAGAGCGAATTCTCGAAATAAGAGCCTCGATTCGATGGTGTTTCCTGTCCTGATGGATGCGGCTAAGCGCCAGCAGCAGTACTATGCAAGCTGTACCGAGCCACCCGTCTGCCTTGCGTCAGTGGCATAGTTCTCGTGTCGAGATGATGACGACGCGGGCTAGTAGCGTGCCTTTCTCTCGCTGGCAACAGCTCCCGTGCGTAGCTCTTGAGGAAGGCCAGAACGCAACACAATGCAGTTCATACGACATGCATTCCAGTAGCAGGACTCAAAATTGGCCACGAAAACTCAGATCGAGTGGCGGTGCGACGCCGACTGGCGCCGGGCCTCGGGGCACTGCGTGATCTCGATCCACGAGTGGCAGTGCGTGCGCTCGAGGCTCCACGCTACGCCTTGGTCCCGAAACACCTCTTTGGCGTTGATGCGGTCGATGACGATCTCGAGGTTCTCTTCGACCTACACAGCGCGGATGAGATTCGTGTCTCGATCAAGCATCTGGAACCTCGCCCGTGCACGGCCGGATGCAGCAAAAGAGGAGACCGCAGGACAAGGCGACGCCAAAGTAAGCGTACACGACGCACGTCGTGCAAGGGAAATAGTCGTAGCACGTCTGGTTGATGGCGGCAATCGCAGCACGGAAGTCGGCTTCGGGCATGAGCTTCTGCAGCGGTGGTGTGAAGGCATCCGCATACTCGGACGCTAAGCCGTCGACGGCGACGCGGCCAGTCGGCCGAAGCTTGGCGAGAATCACACGGCGGTGTTTGATCTTGGCGTCCGGCGCGCCCGTGGACGCGACGGGCGCGACGTCCTTGGGCAGCAGCGGCTCCTGTAGCGCCTGGGAGGCCATCGCAACTTGCGAGTCTTCTTCCAATTCGATCGCGCATTGTTCCGGCTCGGCGTATCCGAAGAATAGAATACCATTTGCACAACCTTGAACATCGAAGGTTAGTTGGCGCGTCCTGAAAAAGTTGTTCGTCGCGGTGGAGACCCACGAGAAATGTTCCACCAATATGCACGGGCTCCTGCGGATCACACCCTGGCTGTAGCCGCGCAGTCGAGTGTGCAGAATGACATTTTGCCAGTTCGATGCGTCTTCATTCCCTCCGACGACTTGACTTGCTGAAGAGTCTGCTTGGCACTTAATGTGAAGACGATTCAACACTGCAAAGGTTTTTTTGAGCTTGCGGTCATAACGTTGAGCTATTGTAGCACTAGTAGGACTCAAGCGACGAGCGGCTCCGTCTCCTTGAGGAGGTACGAAAGCGGCGCGCCGACGAGCAACGGCGCAAGCTTTGTGCGCACGGTCGCGTGGTACGCGTTGAGCCACATGAGCTCGTCCGACGTGAGAAGCGCCGTGTCGATGAGGCGGCGCTGGATCGGGCACATGGTGATCGTCTCAAAGACGCAGAACTGGCCGTACGTCGTCGGCAGACCTTCGGCCTTCTTGGCGACCATCAAGCTTTCGATACGAATGCCAAAGTTGCCGTCTTCATAGTACCCGGGCTACACACGCATGAGATTCCATCCCTCAATCAGCAAAGCGTACCTCGTTGCTCACAATCATGTTTTCGCCAATCAAAAGGCCCGTGGGGTTAAGCTTGAACGACATGAGCTACGCAGAAGGGTCATGTCTTAGACAAAGGCAACATGTGTAGGACGTACCACGCCCTTTTCGTGGACATTCAAGAACGCACCGACGCCGTGGCCCGTGCCGTGGCGGTAGTCCATCCCAGCACTGTGGGGCCAGTTAGCAATCGCGACATACACATTTGTGCGTACCGCCACAACGGCGCGCGGGTGAGCGCATCGAGCTTGACGCCGTCGCAGTCGTTGGGGAAGACGGCCTGGACACGCAGTGCGCTTGACGCTAGGCACAATAAGAACACGTACCGTCGCGAGCGCAATGTGCGCCTTGAGAACATGCGTAAAGCAGTAGATTTCATGGGCCGTCGGCGTGCCAAAGTGCGACGTGCGCGTCACGTCCGTCGTGCCGTCAAGGTACTGCGCGCCCGAGTCGTTGAGGTACATCTTGTCCGTCGTCACGCTGCCGCACGTCTCTTCCTTGGGCTATGCAGCGCGGATATACGTATCGAATCGCATACTTCAGTGGACGTACATCGTAATGGATGATGGCGCCATTCGGGCCCGAGCCCGAGATGGTCTCAAAGCTGAGCGACACGTACTTGTCCTATAAAATGTGAGTGGGAGTATAGCGAGAGCTGTGAGTCACACACCATTTCTTGGCGGAAGGCTTGCTGAGCGTTGGCAACGCTGACTTCGGTGAGCGACTCGTTTCCTGCCTCCAGCTGCTCCTCGAGCCACGAGAAAAACTTGACGAGCGCCGCGCCATCGCGAATGTGTGCCTGCATGTAGTTGCGTTCGTCCATGTGTGCTGCTTCGGGAAAGGGGGGCTACCTGACGCATGCCTTCGATTTCAACTTCATTCTTGATGGCCTACACAAAGGGTCCGGTATGTGTGAGCAGGTGCATCTGAGTACCTTTTGCTTCATGACGATCGAGGGGAGCTCCTTGCGAAGCGCGAACGGAATCGCGCTAAAGACCGCCACGTTGCACTGGGCAGGGTCGACGAGGATCACTTGGCCCGCGTCCGGCGCGCACGAAGCGGCGTACGTCTCAATCTAACACCAACCGTCCATGTCAGAGGTAGGGATTCGTTTGTCATACCGCCGAGACAATGTCGCCGTAGCCCTGGACTTGGACCTACGCTGCTCGTTAAATCAAGTCGCTGAACGGGCGCACGTACGTCCGAGCCAAAGTGAGCGAGCAACTCTTCGCTCACTTCCTTGGCGTCCATAAAGAGCGTCGCCGAGTCGAGCGTCACAAGCGCATACGACGTACTACGACCGCATGAGCGCATCTACACCCATAGCACATGGGGCGTACACGACGGGGTTGCACTCGACGTCGGCGCCACGAATGTTGAAGAGCCACGCAATATCGTCGAGGGCCGTGAGCACGATCGCGCGACCGCCCTTCTTGGTGATTTCGGCACGCAGCTGCGTTGGCAAAGTGAGTCTATATGACGGAAGATGCAGGAAAAAAGCGTACCGACGCCAGCTTCTCGGCAATCGACGCGCCGGCGTACTCGAGGCTGAGCGCGTAGACGTCCGACGGGAGCTGCGGTGGCTGGTCGTCCCAGACCTGGTCCACGAGGTTCTTCTGCCATTCGCAGACGACGACGGCCGCCTTGACCGCGCCAAGAGCCTTCACGAGCTTACGTGCCGTGGCCACGGACGTCAAGAGCGGGTCGATCGCAAGCGCGTCGCCGGCCGTCAAGTTGGCTTCGAGCCACTCCTCGACCGTTGGCACATCCTTCTGCGCTTGGCGCATGAGCGTCCACTCGTCGCTGAGCTCTTGCTCGGCCTGAAGAAAGTACCGGCCGTCGGTCCAAAGCAGCGCCTTGTCCGTCGTCAACAGCGCCGTGCCCGCCGAGCCCGTAAAGCCCGAGACGAACGCCCGCCGCTTGTTGCGGTCGCTCACGTACTCGCTGCCATGGGCGTCTTCGGACTCGACGAGGAGCGCCTTCACGTGGTGCGACGACGCGGCCTGCACCTGCAGCTCGGCGTCGAGAACGCGGGGCACGAGGCCCGTGAAGGCGCGACGCAGCTTCTCCAAGGTCTGGCTCATGGTGATCTGCTTTGAGAATGCAATTGAAAATGGATGTCCGCGGAAATGAAAATAAATTGATGGCAAATCACACCTATTCGCTGAAGCGCACTTGCGGGGACCCCCTTGCTTGAAGTTGCCGCGATTGCTCATAAGATGTTTTTAACCCGATCGATGCGCTCTTCGTGGTAGCAGCCCAAGCCCGGAGAGCTCTTTAAACTCTCAGGGCAGCAGCGTCGACTAGAGCTTCCGCTGGACAGTACGATCTCAAGCAATTGCTCCGCCTCACATCTTCTCAGCGCATCTCTTCGCATCAATCGCTTCGATCCGTGTTAAAAGCACGCAAGTGTCATGGAGGTACCCAAGACTCGGTCGTTGGGTGTTTGCTCATCACGCGTGACGAGAGAGGATCGGACTCGAGCCTACCATTGGACTCGGTTGCCATTTGAACTCGCGGCAGCAGACGTGTTTGCTGGAATTCCTGATCCTCGGACCGAAGCAGCGATCTGGGTCGTGGAGCCAACAGATGTACTACCCTTGATAACCTATATTCTGCATGTAAACATATTTCAAACCTGCCGCACCAATACTACGCTGACCTGTAGAGCCTTTTTCTTTTAATATACTACATCATATGAAGATTTTCTGAAAGTCGTATTTATCGGAGCATAAAGCGCACTTTGTCCAGCTGATTGACATGGCCTTTTTATTGGTGGCACGGCAAAAGTGTGGTGTTCCATAGTCATCGTCATGGTCTTTATGCTGCGTCGCGCGTTCTCGACGTCCAAGGGCGGCGGCTTCTCGTTCCCGTCGCCGCGCTCGCTGCAGTCGATCGTGAAGCTCGAAACTCTGTCGCAGGAGGCGCCGGACGCCATTCGCCGCATCTGGACCGAGTTCCACGCCGACAAGTCCGACAGCGTCGCATCGGCGCTCTCCAAGACGGACTTTGAGCTCCTCACGGGCCGTGCGAAGGACTGTCCTTTCTTCGTGCTGCCTGTGTACCGCGTGAACTCTGAGACGAACGAAGAGGGCTACTTCACGATGCTTTCGCAGTTTCAAGACAAGTGCTTTCTCATCACAACGCTCGACGCCTACCGCGAGAACCCGTCGCAGGCGCCGCCGTGCCTTACGATCTCGCTCTTCGACGATCTCCTCACGACAAAGGAACTTGCGCTCCTGCGTGGCGATGTTGCCAACGTCCTGGACAAGCCCGTGCGATGTTCTCCCGTCTCTTTCTCAATGACTCATACGCTCGTGGTAGGAAGCTACGACGCTCTTTGAAGCTCTCACAAAGCGCTACATCGACGATGCCCACTTTGACATGGTCCACGCGTTCAACAAGCGGCCGCAAGAGTTCAACTTTGATGCGTACCTTGCCGAGTGCAAGGCGCTGCACAAGAAGACGAAGGCGTAATTGCCATGCATATAGACACGACCTCTCGTTCTTCGTCCACGTGTTGCGTTCGATTAGATTTCATACAGCAACATCGGCGCTGGCGCAACGTAGCGCGCGCCAAAGGCCATCCCATCGGCCGTCGGCTGCGAAAAAGCGACTTGCGCTGTCGGGATGGTCATGCCGTACGTAAACTTTTGCCGGACGACATCCAAAAGCGCCTTCGCGATGCCTTCGCGTCGGTGGCGCGGGTGCACCCACATGTGGCTAACGCCTACGAGCACGTCGCGCGGCTGCTTGGTGTCGATGGTGATGACGCCGGACGTCGTCGCATACGGGAATGCAGTGGTGACAGCCTCGGCACAGACGCACCCGACAACGTTGTCTTTGGCCACATAGATAAAGTGGCGCCGGGCAAAAAACTCAGTCTCATCAATGATGCCCAGTGTATCATCCAAGACGGCTTTGATCTACGGTGCATTCAGTCCATGACGATCCGTAGGGTTCGCATTACCTGGCGAAGTTTCTTGATTTGCGCCGCAGGGTCGTCCCCACGTAGCTCGAGAATTCGGTTTTGGCCTTGCGTGAGATGGAGGCGCTCGTTCTTCCAGCCGCTGATGGTGACGCCTGCGGCAATTTTTTTGCAGAAGCGGGCGTGGGCCTTCTCGTCGGCGTCGACACCGGTCATGTACAGAAAGCCACACGCCGGACACGTTCGCTGTCCAAGATCGGCCTGACCGAGATCAAGAAACCGCTGCTGCGCCTTGGCTTTCTTCGGTGTTCCGCCACTGGGCTCGGCCTTGCATGTCGCCTTGCGCTTCCGAGTCGCTGCGGGCTTGCGCTGCATGAGCACGTCGAACGCGTTCCCGACCATGACCCTTTTCTCCCGTCAAGTGCGCCCTGATTGGTCCATACTACGCCGCAACGCTATTGGCAGAGCAAAATGGCGGGAAAACTGCGGCAATAAATTATGCGTTGCGGGACGGCTTTCTTTCCTACTACGTACGACTAGTTGCTTGGCTCACTACGAAGAGGATGGCGTAAAGAACTTGAGGCTGTAGCTGCGCCGGAGCTTGACGGGTGCGAATCCTTGGAACCACGTCGCGTTGCAGCGCGGACACGTATTGCGACCGCTCGCGAGCTTGAAGTCTTCCAGACACTGCGGGTGCAGCCACGCCAGCGAGCATTTACACGGACTCGTAATGAGCTCCGAGGACGTCGGCGCAGTGTCGCAAATGGTACAACGCCGAGAGCTTGCATGGAAAAGCATGACGTTGCCCGTGCTACCCGCCTTTCCAATCACTGCAGCTTCGTGTACGGCAAGTGTCGGTTGCGAGTGACAAGACTCCGAGACGAGGCTGCCCAATTCGTCGGGCTCGAGACTCACGCTGCACTCGGGGGGTCGAAGCATGCTGTCGTCTGTCATCTTGGACTTTCGTCGCTGGCGGCGGCGTTGGCGGGATGTGTCCCAGTCGCGGTGGGCAGCTTCGAGTTGCTCCGTAAACGAGGCGGTCGGTCGAAGCTGAGGCATCGATGCCACGGGGGGCAAGCTTGCAGTCGATGTCGTCGACGGCACAGCGATTTCGTTCCCGCTGCGACCTGGCGCCAAGAATTCCAAGGAGCCGACGCGGTTCGTGGCAAAGAACGGCGGGATGTTGAGGCCCAGAGCTGTAGTCGATTTACGCCGCGCGGGATGCGAGTCGGAGAGCCTCCGCGTCATCGCACTCGACTACAGTACGTAGAAGGGGCGTTGATGAGGTCTAAACTTATACACGCGGGAAACGCATCGTGCTCGTTTTAGACCTGCAAGATCGGGGATGGGGTTGATATCCGGATATCCAGCGGGGAAATCCGGATACTGTCAAGGACTCGAAGGAGCCCCACAAATCTGGAATACAAGCTGCCATGTCGACGCCCCTGCGGACTGCTACCTGTAGGTAGACGCTTCTTCCGTGCGCAAGATGGGCTCATGGTGACGTGTGCCAACAGATGTCAAGGTGAAGGACTTGGTCCCTGGCACACACGGCCACAACCTCGTTGCACGCGTGCTCTCGGCGGAGATCATCTCCGAGAAGGTCCAGGCCGATGGCACGACGTCGCGGATAGCAGAAGTTCTCATCGGTGACGAAACCGGCACAATCATAGTGTCGGCGTGGAATGGTACACCGACCTTTGCTTGGTCGACCAGCCAACTCATGCAGGTCGTAGAGCAAATCGACCTCTTCATTGTCGGGCGCAACGTGGTCGTGCGCAATGCGGACGTTGGCGTCCACCGCGGCTTTGCACGGCTCCGTGTCTCCAAGTGGGGCAAGCTGGCTTCGCATCCCGACGGCATTAAGTCGACGCCCAAGGTGCCGGGCAAAGTGCTCACGGAAAACAACATGTCGGCGATTGAGTACGAGCTCGTGGCTGTCGAGGACGCAGAATGAGCAAACAGCGGCGACTTGCCGCAATCAACTCGAGTTTAAGCGATCGTTGTGTGCGTCGTGGTCCATTTGTCCAAGACAAGACGATTGAATTTGAAGTGCTCTTGCCGCCGACTAAGCTATTATAGTGGAAATCATCTTTTGAAGCGTCTGACTTGACCTCCAACTGCGTTTTGCAAGTATACGTGCGCGCGTGCTTCTCTTGGCACCCAGCCTGAGTGCAACGCACAGTACACAGCTCACCCTGCTGTCAGCGAGCGGTCTGCGCGTACACGTTGAGTGCATATCCCAGCTCGTTCTGCCTTGTACAATTCAACTGTCCTATAGCCAAGCTGCACTCAAGCAATTATCGCCGTCTATATCGCAGTGTACCGGTACGACCAAAGTCCCATGCCAAAGACCTGGGCAATCTTCCAGAGTACTTGAATGTCGTTGAAGAGCGTCGCCTGATTGGTCAAAATAGATTGAAATGTTGGCGTTCCATTTGCTGTCACTTCTAAGATGGGATTGGTTTAAATGATGGAATTTCTCCATGGGGATTGGCCAAAATGGTGCAAAAGAAGAGTGGTGTGTTTGGCGAGGATTGGTTGGCGGCGATGGCTTGGCTCGTGCGTGTTTTGGAGGCTGGAGCATTTCAATTCTTGACTTGTTAACTGAAAATGGGTGTCCGTACCAAGACCGTGAAGCGCTCCGCTGTCCAGATCATCGAGAAGTACTACTCGCGTCTTACCCTCGACTTCGACTCGAACAAGCGCGTCTGCGACGAAGTCGCGATCATCCCGTCCAAGCGCATGCGCAACAAGATCGCGGGTTACATCACGCACTTGATGAAGCGCATCCAGCGTGGCCCCGTGCGCGGCATCTCGCTTAAGCTCCAGGAAGAGGAGCGTGAGCGCCGCCTCGACTTCGTCCCGGAAGTCTCGGCCATCAACACGGACGCCATCGAGATCGACAACGACACGCGCGACCTCCTCGCCCACCTCGAGATCCAGCTCCCGGGTGTCCGCGCCATTCAGGTACGAATGCGGAACCATACGACTACGTATGGCGAACCCATTCCACGCCACTGCGCCCGACGACCACGACTTCCCGCGTGCGCGAACCTCGTGGTCGCCGGTGTCGCCGGCGATGGGCCCGATGATACGCTCTGTCACATTTTGCTCCTCAACTCGGGCACTAATCACGTTTATCTCTCTAGGGCCGTGACCACTAAAGCGTTTGATGACGTAGTCCGCGTTCTCTCGAGGCTAACTCAGGATAATGCAAATACAAGTCAAGACTTTATGAAATCTCTTTTATTCAGCTCAGTACACACTTGACTCTTTCATGATCTGGAGGAATTCGTCGCGATTGATTGTACCGTCTTGGTTGGTGTCGAACTCGTCGATCATGGCCTGCAGAACCACAGGTTTGAGCTAGATGTACGACATCAAGTGTATCATACCTGAAGCTCGTCGTCCGTCAAGCTTTCGCCCATCTCCTTTGCAATACGTCGCATGTTCTATGGAAGCCTTGGCCATCGCCATTGTGTACGCTGGTATGAGTGTATATACCTTGAGTGTGATTTGGCCCGACTGGTCATCGTCAAAGAGCTCGAAGGCCTAGCGTGGGTACAACGGGATGTCGTGCAAGCAAGACTTAGTCAACCTTGAGAATTTCTTCGTCGGGATCGCGCGATGTGATCTTGCGGCGCACTACGAAGGGACCGTTAATGTGACGCCAGCGACGCGACGCACTGATCTCAAGAAAGTCGTCGAGGTGCACGCGTCCGGAGCGGTGTATGTCGACCTCGTCTACGAGTTGCGTGACCTCGGACTTCTTGACATCGAAGCCCAGCGCTCGCATCATGACCTGCGCACGTGATACATCAATGATGATCAATGCAGAAGAAGACGACCTTGAGCTCGTAGTGGTCGACCGTGCCACTCTTGTTGATGTCAAAGAGCTCGAACGCCTCCATGAGTTCCTTTTTCTGGTCTTCTGAAAGCTCTTGCCTCGGCTTCCGACGCACGAGGAGCTTCCCGGACCCGCCCAAGTTGTCGCGACGGAGCATCGTCTGTGTGGCTCTTCAAACGAGTTGACTGTTCAGGATCCACCCAATTGGATTGGTGCAATTCAAATTCATTTTGACCAATCGTGCGTGTAGAAAGGCCCGCGATCTTGACCATGGCTACGATTGAGATCTGAATAAATACCAGCATGACCCTCTCTACTACTTCTTCCTACTACAATATATATACCAGCTACGCATCTACGCTTCTTCCTTGGCCTCGTCGTCGTCCGGCGTAGTCGAGTCCATCTCAATCTCGGCGCACGCCAGCGGCGACTTGGCGGTCGGCACCACGACGGCCGATGCGTCACCGTTGTCGTCATCCATGTCGCAAGAAACGTTGAGCTCAAACTCGGCGAAGTTTTCGCCGGACGAGAGGAAGAAGAGGGAGTCGTCGTCCTTGAGATCGTCGCACCCAATAGCCGCACGGCGTGCCTTGGAGAGCCCGTCTTCGCCTTCGGGCTCCATGTCGCCGCCCTTTGCAATCATGTCAAGAGTCTGCTTCCACTCCGTCGTGTCGTCGCAGCCGAGGCAAGCGCCGTAGAGTGGCGTCGGGCTTTGGATGCCTTCGTCAGCCGTTTGCCGACCAGCGGTGTCGTCCTCCGAGTCCGAGTCGCCGTACTCGCCGAGCCCGTACATGCATTGGATGTCCATCTCGTTCGACTCCCTTCGGTGGGCAATGATCATGTTGACCTCGGCTTCGACGGATTCGAACGAGGTCTCTTCACAGCCCGCGTTGCCGAGAATGACGGCGCGTTCTTGCGGGTCTAAGTACCCTTCTTCCATGTAGTTTTGCCGGCAGACCCGGCTATGTCATGGAGAGAATGAGGTGGGGTCGGCTATGGAAGTGCGCGCGCCTACACTTTTTGGCGTTCTAGTTCAAACGAGTCGAGCCGCCGGCGGATGCGACGACGCTCTTTGTTGGAAAGACCCACCTATGAGATAGCGATTGGAATAGGAATCATTAGCGATAGATGCATACCGGAACGCCGCCAGACGTCACGGTCGTGGTAAAGATGGTCGGCTCAAACTCGACGATATCTGCGCCTTCAAAACCGACGCTGCGCGTGCGCTTAAGCTCCTTCTTTGGCTCGGTTTCCTTCACTATCGGCAGCGGACTGGACACAGGCGTCTTGCTAAGAATGGCCTGAGCTCGCTTGGCGAGCGAGTCGCATAGGGCGATGGGCGGCGACGGAGGTGGCGGCGAGGCGACCAGGACAAAAGACGATGCCATGCTGGGTCTAATAAGGAAGAGCATGCATCATGAGCCGTTATGTTCCATCGTCCATGCAGCTACCTGTAGGGCGAGGGGCGAGGGCGGCGACGGATCGGGGCACGTGCGCTTCGGCGTGCCAATCTCGGAATTTCAAGCAATTTGAAAATCGCCCCCAATTGCTGTCCATTATATTATTACCCTGGACGGCGAATGCATTTTTATTCCCTAGCGCCATATTTCTGGCCCCGTTTGACGCGAGGGGGAGGTTACACGACATCCAGCATAAAGAATCGTATACAATAGCTATAGCCAATCACAGGCGCTTCACGACATGATACACCAATCAGCACGCGCGGAAATATGGAAGCAGACCGAGAGCCAGTGTCTACTGTCGCAGCACCGACGTATTCGTGACGCTTTTCTTATGTGGCAATACAAAATTAGGATGATTGTCGAATTATGTCACGAATGCGCCATGCTCCAGCCAGCCGGACGGCTTAAATCCGGTTGGTGTTCAACCGTTCGCGTAAGTACGGTTTAGAAGAGTCTTCCCGAAGATTCCGTCCGAAGCGGACTTTAGAGGATCGTTGCCGCAGAACCGGCAGCATCTGGTTAAGTGCGGGATACGCGCTCATTTACTGGTGAAGAGCAGAGTGAATTGCCTGCCATGTCAAGCAGCTGGACCGACACCGAGTTCAAGGCCGACGAGTCTTTCGACGCCAACTCGTTCCCGACGTCTTCGCCCGGCTTCTCGCTGCCGGACTTTGGCAGCACGTCAAACGTCGACCTTGGCGTCATCTCGCCCGTCTTTGGCGTGGCCGACAACGCGACGTCCGCTGCTGACTACCTAGAGTACGATGTCAAAGGCCGTGGCTTCCACGAGCGCGCCACGCATACCATTGGCCTCTCGTACTTTGGTGGCATTATCGGTGGCGGCGCCTACGGTGCCCTCGAAGGTGTCCGCAACAGTCCCAGCCGCAAGTTCAAGGTGCGCATGAACTCGCTCTTCAACGCTGCGGGCCAGCGCGGCTCGCGCGCCGGCAATGCGCTTGGCGTCCTTGGTACGACTAGTTTGCAGCAAGCGAGCAACACTGACTACATGCAATTGTAGCGCTCATGTACTCGGGCTGCCAGGAAGTTGTTGACACGCTTGAGCTCGACCAGTATGGTGTCTTTGACAAGGCGCTGCCGATCGTTGCGGCTGGCGCCACGGGCATGATCTACAAGTCCACGGGTACGATTTTTGCTCAGTCACTAGTCGGTATCTCATCGTGCGCATCATAGCGGGTACGCGCCCGATGCTCATGGCTGGCGCCATTGGCGCGATCTTGATGGGCGGTGTCCAGTTTGGCGAAAGCGTCCTCGGCGTGCGCTACTAAGCACGCAACGTGTTTGTATTTCTTCCTAGAGACCTCGTAAGTTAACACGAGTCGGTTGCGCCTCGTGTCTCGCTTCTCGGTCACATTTCACCAGGTTATATCAACACCGGGATGCCCCTCGAGCTGCATCTTCCTCCAGACAACAATACCCATACGTGTGGTGTCTACTTGATTGACCTCGTCCGTGCAACGAGCCATAATTAAGCCCTGCGTGGAAAGTCCACAGCTCAATATGACGTCAGAAGGAACATGGCGGTGCGCTTGATCACGAATGACTTGACTGCAATCAGTAAAATGCACTCGACTACGGTGTACAAGAGAGCTTACGCCGAGTGGGCGTGGAGCCAAAGTGCCCAGTTGACGGCAAAGTCGGCGTACGTCTTGACCGAATCAAGCGGGTGGCAGTCATCGGGGTACCACAGCACGCGCGTTTCCACACCGTGGTGCGACAGCGAGTCGTTGAGCTGGAGACCTTCGGTCGGCGGTACGCGCAGGTCCTTGGCGCCAAGACCAAACAGCACGGGGGTCGAGACCTTGGCGAGGTCGTTGGCCATGGGTGACATTTCCCACATGCGCGCGAGGCACGCAAGGCGGTTGCCGTTGTCGCCGACCGTCGGTGTCACGGCCGCCGTGGCGACGAGCGACTCGAACGCGCCAATGCCCGTGACTGCAAGGCCCCAGTCCGGAATGTCGCTCGTGAAGATTTGGCTCACGACATTCGTCACGGGGTTGCGAAGTACAGCCGAGCGGTAATAGCCCGGGTACTGGCCAATGAGGTGGGCACCAAGAAAGCCGCCGTGCGAGCCACCCGAGACATGGACTTGGTTTGCGTTCAGCGTGTCCTTGTACGTGTCGAGGACGTGAAGGAGCCCGCGGTGGCAGTCGCCGACGTCTTGTGTTCCGACGCGCCCGACGAGCGATTCGAGCGCAAGACGGCCGTAGCCCGTCGAGCCGCGGTAGTTGACTGTCACAACAGCGAACCCGAGCGCACAGAGATAGTCGTACGGCGCCCGGTACGTCGCTGGTGCGTAGCCGTGTGGGCCGCCATGGAGGTCGAGGACCACGGGAAAGCCGTCGACAGGCGCCGGCGTCGACGGGAGGACCACGATGGCTTCGTAAGGCGCTGAGCTTTCAACTTGCGGCAGGAGTGGCGTCGCGCTAGCCGCCAGCGGCGAAAAGCTCGTGCCTGGAATTGACACGGACGGCACAGCTTTCACTGCCCACGACGCAATGTGGCGCGTCGGCGCTTGGTCGTCGAGGAGCACGCGGCCGACAACATCGAGCGTCGTCGCGTCCAGTTGCACAATGTACACGGCCGACGGCGCCACCGGTGTTGAGACCACGACGAGCGCCGTGGTCCCAGCGACATCTAGAAGAGTTTCGTGGCCCGTCGCATCGCCAAGAAGGTACGCCGGAGAGGACACGACGCCCGACTCGACCCGGATGTGCTTCCAGACGCCACGGGCGCCAACCTCCGTGTTGCAGAGGATGTGCTGGCCGTCGACCGACCAACATCGGGGCAGCAGCGAGTTCATGTAGAGACCATTGAACGCCGACGACGGCGCCGCCGTGTAGCCGGGCGTCGGCTCGTCAACAACATCGACCACGATGCGCTCTGCACGCGACGCAAAGTCGACGATGTAGAGAAGGCTCGTCGTGTTGTGCGTCGGGACGTCGCGTGTACCGAGATACGCCACGGAGCGGCCGTCCGGCGACACGCGCGCCGACCGCGTCGTGCCGCAGACCGAGTCGGGCACGAGATGCGCGGCGACAGCATTCTCAGTCCCAAGGGGCAACGCGTACACGTGCTTCACGCGATTGTAGCAGTAGATGAGCCCGAGTCGGCGTGTCGTGGCGATACCCGTGAAGAGGAGTGTGTTGGCGCCTGCGTGCATCTCGAGCTCTGCGATCGTAAGGTCGTCGGGGACGCCAGGCACCTCGTCAATCTTGCCGGACACCAACGACAGGCGAAAGATGCGCGATGTGCGCTTCCCGACGTTCTGCTCGCCCCAGTCCGGCTTGCGGTCGTACTGCGTGCCTCGGAGGTCGGCGTCCGTTGCGGGCGTCGGCTTGCTGTTCGGGTTCACCCAGAAGGGCATGCCCTCCTTCTCCTTGCGCTCGGCGAGATAGAACACACTCGACTCGTCGCCCGACCACACGATGGATCCGTCCGTGGGGCCAGTGTAGAGCGCGCCGTGGAGGTCCTTGGTCGTGTGGTGCACAGCCACCAAGTGGTGCGCGTCAAAGAAGCTGAAGCGGTACGTCTTGTCTTCGGCGTCCGTCACGATGAGGCGAAACTTCTGCGACGGCGAGATGCTCACGGCCTTGGCGTCGTAGCTCGTGGGAAGACCGCGGAAGACCGTGTCGCCATGGACGATGTGCTGTGCCTGCGTCACAACGTTCGTGCCATTGATGAGGTCGCGCTGCTTCCAGACGAGCGTGGCGTGCACTGTGCCAGGCACCGTCGAGATGAGCGATCCACCCGCCAAGATGCGCTGGGTGCGCTCAATGTCTGTGAGCAAGTCACTGGCCTTTGTCGCGTAGGCTGTGGTCTCTGGCGTCATACTGCTTCGGCGGGGATCGCAAAATGGACAGCTCCCCATGGCTGTACGGATAACGGGGGAACTGCAAATTACGGATACGAGGCAACCGCTCGGCTCCGGCATCATTGCCCTTGGCTCGAATGCAGCCGCACATTAGCACACTAGAGCGCAAGGCAACGCGTTTGGTCTCACGAAGGACATTAATATTGATGGCCCTGCTCTCACGCTCACCTGACGGAGCGACCGATAGGTCTCCAAACGCCCCTGCAACCAAGGGCTCTCGGATCTCCTTGCGAAGTATATACCCACACGCCAGCGCGTCTCCATCCAACATCGTCAAGTTTTTTTGGACTCTCAAAGTGTAGAAGCACACTGCAGCAATACTCTGGCTGGACATGCCACTGTGTTGTCCAGTGGGGGTACCCTGAGCTGGGGCGACATCAAGCTCTACACCACAACGTCGGGACCGGAGGGCGAAGGCTCGCCTCGGCAGCTCACGATGGAATGCGGAGACGGTGTTTCCTCGTTGACGGCCGAGTAGATTGCCCTATCTGCCTAGTGGTGGTCGAGATGGGTAAGCTATTTCGCTACGGGAGGCCAAATGCTGAATGTCTTGTTTTGCTAACCTCTCTTCTGACTTTCTACTCTTCTGTTGTTTGTGTCGCCTCTTTCTCTTCTTGGAAACGGCCGATTCGTTGACTGATATAGTTTCAACTTTGCGCGCTTTATTCCTGCTTAGCGCGTGTTGGCCAGCGTGATTTTTGTCAGCGATCGACGACGCACCACAAACACGCAACGTGACGTGGGGACTACGATGCACCCCATTGGTGCTTCAAATGGCTTGGATGAAAATGCGGAGCAAAAGTAGGGGAACGTCGCATCGGGCAGCTGAGAGGCGTACAGTACATACTTGGCTGCGAATGATCCAGCTTTCCTGCTGCGTCAAACCCCAACGTACGCGTCGCGTACGTTGAACGACTCGCTTCGTCAAATGGATGATCTCACGACGTATCGAGCTTATGGACACCAGGCATCGTGGTGGTCAAAGACGAAAGTTTGCAAAACAATTTGCCCAACAGCTCGAAATGGTATTGTACACTGTATTTATTAAATATCCCCAATTCTATCATATTTGTACAGTGTGTCTATACACTGTACGATGTCTGCCATAAGAGTACAATAAGTGCGCTTACCCAAAACCTTCCCGCGTCGATATTTAAGAGAAAAGGCCGAGGGCATGCTATCTGTCCCGTTCAATAAAGGGAGCGACAACGCTTCTTCCTGTGACTGTACTCTGTCCTCATCAATTCATTCGTCGGCCTGGACTTCAATGCGTTGAAGGTCCAGACCACCTGCTGTGGACTCGACCAGATGAGTTGAAGTTGCGGTGAGACGGCCCATCGTACAAATGGACACAAAGTTTGCGACGACGACGCTTTGTGGGTGTTGGGGCCGGTGGGTTGCACATTGAATATCCTTTTGTTCTGCCTTCTGCTTACATGCTCGTCATATCTGCACGACTAATGTGGTTGCAGTTCGGTTGTGCAGTGTGGTGCAGTGGTGATACTGTAACGTAGAGGCGCCCCGCATGCATGGTTCTGGTGCGGTTACTCAACACCGCCCGAGAAAAACGCTTCTGGTTCAGTCGAATCTGATACGAGGCCTGAGAAGGTCTATAATCAAGGCAGTCAAGACCACAACAAGTGTGTCCTTACCAGGCACGCCTGTGGAACCAGTAGAATTGCCAAGAAACACCGTGACGTCCAAGCGCGGCTGGCACTTTCGTCGTATCGCTGCTGATGTTTGCTCTAATGCCTGTGACGCGTTGATCGTTGCTCCCAAACGTCACTGCCTGTCTACCTACGGTACCATTGTATGGATGCCCTACAGTACCGTACTTTACTATTATACAACTCTATATATGTAGTACTGCAGTGCTGAAGGCAAAAACAAACGAGGCGTATAACCAAGGATAGTTCTGAGCTGTGTGTTGGATAGGTTGTGTTCGTTTTTCTGCGAGCCGCGGCACTACGAGGCGGTAGAGGAGGAATAATGCTAACCACGTCTTTTCCACGAGGTTGCACTTTTGAGATTCCGCGTACAATCTCATAGACAAGCCATACATTGCGGTGCCACGCCCACGTCGCCTTCAACGTGTACAGCCACAGTAGAGGTGGCATCATCACGCAACGGGCGCCGGTGCATACACGTGGTAGGCTACTTCTGGTGCGGAGTCCCACCGTAGTCATGTTGGCTGCTCGCCTCTGCATTGCACGTCCAACGCACGGCGATAGTAGGGACCTGGCGTGCACAATGCCGTGAGGAAGAGGGACCAATGCTTGTGCAGGTACAATCGATGATGCAGGCCTTGAAGAAGGATAACGTCACACGCCTCGGTCTCCTTGTACGGCCGCGACATGCCGCTAGAGCATACCAGCACCCAAGGTTCAGCGGTGCCACCCAAGAGTCCAGTCACCAAGTGTGGTAATCGTATCCAGGGCTTGTGGGCACGCCGTCGTCTGTCCGACGTGTATCAGCCTGCACCTGCAGAAATGTGTGGCCCTCGGTGCGTGATGCGATTGCAGTTGGAATCATTCTGGTGTCGCAGTCGCGCAAAAACATGCTCCAACTCTCTTCGGACACGCGATGGTACGAACCCGGGCGGTGGCGCTGTCCCACTCTCGCGACGCCATGTCCCTGGCGCCATACGAACTTCAAGAGTTGTCGGTAAAGGCCTGCGGCTGGTACCGAATTACTCCGGCAGGAACCATTGGCGTTGGCGCTTTCGCCAGTGCAGCACCGCGGCAGATGGTCTCTGTTTAGGTAAGCCGTGCACAGCTACAGGACCGCGTGAACCTCTTTCTCTTTATATTCTTGAGAATGAATTGCCTTCGAAATATGCACTCTGCTATGTTGTTCGACGACGGGGTCGTCCTTCTGCAATTGAGTATACTTTGACCGTGCAATGTCTTTTCCCCGTCAAAGCTGAAACCTGTGACAAATGCATTTCGATATCGAAGCTACCTTCGGCATCTGCCCAACTGTGACATGCACGTCAACCCCAGTGTCGAATCCGCTGCCGCCCCCGCCGGCCACGGACATCACCACACACCAAAACGATGGTGACGAGCGCCATCTCGGTCGAGTTCTCGCAATACTGCAAATGCGACAGCATTTTTGAAGCCAAGTACCTCCGGTAAGCAGACTCCACTTCTTCGAGGATGGCTTCTCATTGCTGCTCAATGGCTCCAGAACGCATCGGTCCGGCGGTACCAAGGTAATACAGCTTTGTGCTTGCATCGCCGTCTCATACGTTGTATTAGGTCCTGCGGTACGCATCGAGATTGCCTTGGACACCTCCAACGTCGACTGCTGTAGATGCTTTCCCCACTGCTGCCCGTCGCACGTTTTCAACAGCGTCTGCGGCACGTCCGTCGTTGCTCGCGTGCACGGCCCCGCGGACCGCGTCCAGCAGTCCATGACGTACCTTCGCTTCGAGGCGTCGTACGAGCGGCCGTTCCAGGTCGGCGACACGCTCAGCGAGCAGACAATTCTGTCCAACCTCCGTCGCCAGACACACGCGATCGGCGAGTGGATTGCGAGCCAGTACGATGTCTTTGACGACGTAGGCCATTGCTTTTGACGCAGCCGTGGCTCATGCGCCCTGCAAATAGAAAACCTCGGTGCGCGTCAACGAGTTTAGTCCCAAAGCCACGTCGTCGCTTGGGTGGCACTACCGCTGGGTGGGCGGCTCTGCGCGCCAGCAGCGTCGCGCGACCCACTGCCTTCGCGTACGATTAAGTTTCAGTTCGCCTTTTGCTGATCTCGCCATCATTGTAGGCCTATGTCTTTGAGCGCTTCTTCCACCACAACGTTTCGATGCTGCGGGTGGTCGCAACGACGCAATCGCCGACCTTCATCGTCATGTCATACCGGCGCGCGTGCAAGGTGTGCCAGCGCCAGACGCCGGAGGACCTCGAGAAGACGTCGGCGCAGTGTCAGTGCGAAGGCATCTACCGCGTCTCGAGCCATGGCTCCGACAACGACGACGAAAATATGACGCCGCCGTCGTCAATCATGAGCATGCAGCAAGACGCAATGCCATCAGCGCTCATCTCGGACATGGAGCACGCGTTTTCGATCATCTACTACTACCTTTCAACGCTCGATGTGCCTGCGTTTGCCGCGCAGCTCGCAATGCTTGAAGAGACCATGCAGCAGTGCTTCTTCCATGGAACTGAACCCAACATCTCGACGTCGCTCTTCGGTCCGTTCATTCGTGCTCCGTCGCCGCAAGCCAAGGGCCTCGAAGCCTCGATCGCGTCTGCGTGCATGCTCTTCATGAGCCAAATCACGACGCACATGCCGGCCGTGCGCCACTTTTTCGGCTCGAATGCAGCCTGCTTGCTCAACAAGCGCGACCTCGAAAAGAAGTATCTCTCGTGGATACGCTTTGCGTACGAGACGCTCAATCCGAGCGTCGCACCGCTGGACACGACGCTGCTGCACTTGGCACAAGACATTCTGCGGCTCGTGGAAGACCCGCTCGCGCAGCGCCCCAACATTTCGCTCCTCCGGCACAAGATCCAGACGTACCACCCAACGCTTGCATTCGAGTGGTTTGTCGCACAGATGCGCGAGATGTACCTCGTACGTGCCTTTGGTTTGCATTTGGATGAGACTGACGTGGCGCTCCATAGGCCATCAACTCGCCGATGCCGTCGACGACGACGCCATCGCCTCTCGATGGTCGCTGGCGCTGGACGGCAACGAATGTTTCATTCCTCGCTGATTCGTCGCCGCCGTCGTTCTTGACTATCTTTCGCGCCCTCTCCATGGGCCTCTCGGTCCAGCAGATTGTCCAGGGCTCGTCACTCTTCGTACGTATTTTGTTTTGCTGGGCGTTCGAGTGCTCACCGTGCTCGTCTAGATCACCTCGGAGCACGCACTCTTCCCAACGATTTGGTCCGAATTTGTCCTCGATGGTCACCCCCACGTCCTCCGGGTCTTTGCCAACGGCGAAACGACCATGTCGTGCGTTTCGGACTTCATGTACGGCGACTACGTCGGTCGTCTCGGCCCTGAGGACCTGCAGACAGTGGAACTCACGCTCTACTGCTGGCCCGCGGCCGTCCTCTCAGTGAACCGCCACTGCTACGCGATCCGCCTTCAAAGCGTCTTGCATGGCCAGAACACCCTCTCGTGCCGCGTGCAAGTGACGTCGGCGCTCGAAGACAAGAAGGTCGACTACTGGGGCATGGACATTAGCGAGCGCATTGCGTCCTTTAACGTGCGCGACGAAGCTCCCGTGCTCGAGCTGACGCTGCAATACGCGCGCCGATGAGTCTTTTATCCTCATGTTAACCAATAGAAAACCGCTAGTACCAACGCTGCAAGTGTGGTTGTCCATCGTAGGACTTCCTTAAGGTAATTTCTAAACTATACGTTAGTGCGCAAAGAGTCGATGATTTGCAACTAGTACAAGTCCTAGCGCGTATTATACTTTAAAAGGGCAAACGTCACACAGCGACGCAGCCGACGGACAACGTCCGGCCAAGGTCCGTGCTCCGAACGTTTCATATTTTCACTTGCGTCGCCTCGAGCCAGCAGACCAATACCGCCACGGCAGCCCCATGGTCACGATCATTTTCTGATCTGCAAGCGGATTCTCTACGCGGACACTAGCTGGCGAGTGGAACAACACAACGAGGCGGGGGCGCTGTAACAGTACTTTGAAGTGTTTCACGTCCTCAAGGTCGAAGGAGTAGCAGGTCCATGCCACCTTAGCTGGTCATACCGCAAGAATACCACTGGTTGGTTGCGGTGAGAAGCTTGTGCACAGGGAACTGAACCCGGTGGACGAATTGGCTGGGAAGGAGGCCTACGATTCTCTCCGTGGTAACGGCGTCTCGAGAAGCTTGCGCTTGGTCAGCGACTCCACAAGTGCAGTCGACAGCATGTCTCGGGTATATCCTAGCTGCAGAGGAAGCTTGCAGAGGAAGCTTGCACATGCTGGAGGTTTGTCGAGCTCGCCGAGGCCTGCGCCTCCCGCCCTCACCAAGATTCTCTTATCCGGATAAAGATATAGTTCGAACCGGATAGCGATTCTCACTCATGGACGACGGGAACAACATCGCTCCGCGGCCAACTGTCAGCGCGCTCCTCGACGACTTCCTGCCTGCTGGTCCGCCGTCGAGCGAGCTGCATGAGAAGCCAGCAAAGCACGTAGTAGAGCGTAGCTGGAGCCGCCGCCTTCTTGGCCTCGTCCAGAGCGCCATGTGGCTCACGCACGCGTCTGACTACGACGCCGAGGTCGAGATGGCTCGGGCCACGATCAACGAGTACCGCCTGCATTTGATGGAGATGCTTATCGAGCGCGAGGCCTCATATGAGGCTGCACTCGCTGGACATCGTCGCTTGTCCGCGAAGTGGGCCGCACGACTCCGTCCGCTCGCGCCCGAGGGCCTTCCTCGAGCCTGCGTCGAAAAGATACGCTTTCTCAGCGTGCTCATGATCCATGACAAGGTGCTGCAAGTTGATATGGAGGCTTGCGTTGTGGATCTGCTCCGGTCGCGGCACCAAGCCACCGAGGACCTCGCACAGGCCCTTGCCTCGACCCCGACACAACATCTCTTGGAGGCCATCATGGACGCCAAGTGGACATCGCCGGTCACGAGCCTCATCAAAAGCAACGTGCCGCATTCGATGCTGCGACACCGACAAGCGCACCTTGAAGCGGCTATGCGCCACGCGTACAGCGTCATCCTTGCGATGCCGACGAACGACGAAGAGCTTGGGTGTGTGGATGCACCGAAGCCAAAAGAAGTGGCGACTGTTCTCCGTGCCCTGCAGGCTGTGACAACAACAGCAGTGTCCTCTGGTGGTCGATACCCTGTGTCCCACCTCAATGCATTTCGGCGCTGCGTCAGTGACACCCGTACACGCTGCGGTCGGCTATTACGTGACTGGGCTGCGAAGCTCCTTGCGGACGCCGAGGCAACGTTCGCGATCGAGTCAGGGAATAATGCGTCGGAGCTCGACCATGTCTTCGTACCCGGCCTATCGAGCTTGATCCCGGCAACGACGGCCCGCATCTATGTCACGGGCATTCGCGTCACGCACCTGCCTCCGCCCAAGACACTCCTCGCCTTTGAACGTTATTTTGCACTTCGGGTGCAGGATGAGTTTCAGTTTCCGACTGGAGAGGGGGATGCGTGGTCCGCCTTCCGCATGTGCGTCCACCATACGGTTTTCTCGGCCATCGCCAAGATCGCCGCAGCCTATGAGGTTCAGACGACCCCCGGCTTTTCCCGCCAACTCTATCATTTCGGCCACGCCACCTCGAGCGTCGATTTGACGACCCTCGGCGCTCCAGCGACCGTCATCGCTGCTGGAAGCCTCCCAGCGACCGAGGCTGCACTCGCTCGCATCGTTGTCGAAGTCACACCGGGTGGTGTCGTCACAGCCGTGCTCGCCGCCATGCATTGCATGCACAACGAGGTTGGGCAACTCGGGTGCCACTCTTTGAACGCAGACGTGCTCATCCCGCTGCTAATCTTTGTCATTGCACGGGCGAACGTGCCGGCCCTCCTCCGTCGGCTCGCACTTGCCTCAACGTTTTCGTTCGACGATGGCTCCGAGGCAGGTGCGTCGGTCTGAGCTGCTTCGTCGGGCTTACACATCTTCACGTAGCCTACTACCTCACGTGCATGCGTGCAGCAGTCTCGGTCGTGCTGGGCGACGCCACGCACTGCGCCACCTGCGCCGACGCCTTTGACAGTCTCGTCGTCGCCGAGGTATCAACACCACCGGAAGTTGCTGCTGCGTCGCCCCCGCTCGTTGATATGACCGCCCTCTCGGCGTGGATTGCCGACAGGCGGGTTGCGGAGGAGACGCTCCTGCTTGTCGAGGCGTGGATGGCCTGAATCTTTGTAATAAAATAAAATCTTCTTTGGATCCGAGTCTATTTATAGCAGCGTGGCTTCGATTCGAAGGCGCTCAGGATATTAATACGCTGGTACGCAGGTCTGTTGCTAATATAATATTGCGGAAAATCAAAGACATGGGAGGAATTGTATAGGCGCGTCCATAAAATCACCGTGGAATCGCACGTTGTGTTCAACGAAGAGGAGCGGCCACCTGGTGGGTCCTTCCATACAAACTCTAAGTGATCCGGAACCGGCGCGGCCTGGGCGCCCAGGCCACACTTGATGTTTGTATCGCACCAGCTGCTTTCGAAACCTTCCGCACCATCTCCACGGCTATCCGATAGTCAACCCAATGTGATCGGTTTTACGCCTCCAAGGTGCAGGTTAAAGGCACGTTTTTTGGGCCAAACGTGGCACGACCAGTGGGTTTTTCGTTTTTCCAGCGTTCGATATTTTGAGCAACTCGGACAGAGCAATCATTTGCCAACTCGCGCGACCCGAGACAGACAAGCCAGAATGGCGACGACAATACTGGACGCTACACCCAAGACACTCACGTGGGCCACTGATGTCGACCGCTACACGATGGACCTCGTGCAGTGGCAGTCTGCCAACGACTTGCCCGAGCGACGCCTCATGGTGCAGCGCATCATCGCCATGACGCGCCGCACAAAGCCGCGGGGTGCCAGCGACGTCTGGGACGAGAAGACGCCGTCTCTCGCGAAACGCATCGAGCTCAGCCTCTATAGTCGCGCCGCATCGTTTGAAGAGTACAAGGACATCAACACGCTGCGCCGACGCCTGCAGAGCCTCGTGTCTCTGAGCTACCACGAGGCTGCGACGGCCAAGCACAAGCGCAAGACCATGCATGAGCCCGCCACCGACGACGAGTGCTCTCCTTCTACGCGACGGAAGACCAGCTCGACCGCCGAGACGTCGGTCTTCTTGTGCCACAACGACGATATCGTCCGCCATGTGTACAGCTTTCTGGACGGCGCTGACGCGCTTCGACACGTCGCGGTGTGCAGGAAGGCCGCCCAGCTACTACCTACGTGCGTCTTAACGCTGCGCGTGACGGTGCGTGCCCTTGCATCGGCGTTTGAGCTCCAGAAAGAGACTTTCCTGGTCCAATTGAAGAACCTCGAGAGCCTCGAAGTGTACAATCCATCGAAGATCAGCGACGACAACTGCATGGACAGTGATGTTGCGCTACACGCCTGGGGTTGCAGTGAGCTCGACATATCGCAGGACAATGTCGGCGAGCGCGTCGTCTCGAAGCTCGCCAGCGCTTTTTCGATGGGTGCGGGTGCCAACCTCCGTCGCTTGCGCCTTGTCTCGTCGTTTACGAACACATGTCGAGACAACGGGATCCACGCGCTCTGCGGCGCCCTCCAGCGCGGCGCGACGCCGCTGCTGGAAGATCTCTTGCTCGGGGGCAACAGCTTCTCGGACTCGGGCACGGTCGACATTGCCGCCTTGTTGCGGACTGGCGAGGTGCCGAACCTTACGCGCCTCGACCTGCGCCGGAATTACATTGGCGAGTCGGGCTTGAAGCGCATCATGCAGGCGCTTGGCGCTGGGACGTGTCCGCAGCTCAAGTACCTCTGCATGGGCGGCAACATCATTACAGACAACAGCGTCGCGCCCGTGATCGCTCTCCTGTCGAGCACGCTCTGCCCGCAGCTGCGGTTCCTCGGTCTCGAAGACAACTTTATCAGCGCCCGCGGCGTACAAAACATTATCCAAGCCGCTGTCTCTGGCGGCATGATGCCCAAGCTGCACAAAGTCACCGGTGCCCCGACCATGGCCGCATGAAGGCCGCCCTATTCCCCTGTCACTTTCTTCGCTATCTATTCCTTAGTTTATTATTCACGCTCATAGTACACCTAACAATACATGATGCGTTGCCGCCGTCTCTTGTTCGCCTTTCCAAGCACGCGAGGCTGTCTGAGTCGACGAAGCGGCCGATCCTCCTCTGCATGGATTCTGCGCAAGCGACCAAGTGGCAACCACGATCACCTTGCGTGCACGTAATACATGATGCCTGACGTCACATGGCCGACGACCCGCGCTGCATCACGCGCCGTCTTGGCGGCAGGTCGTATTGTCCATGCGACCAGCAAGGATAGCCACTGGCGCGTCCATGGCCACCGCGTCGCATCGCATCTCGCTGCCCGCGAGCAAGTCTGCTAGCCGGCCACCAGGAGGCGCTGTGGACTTGGTAACGCGTCTCTTGGCCAGGCTTGTTGCTGCCGCCGCCGACTCATAGAAACCTGCGACGTAACGGTTGAGGCATCCGGATGACGTTACCGGAGAAGCCACTCTTTGCCATGCCATCGGAGGTCGCGTCCTTCTTCGGCGGACCGCTCGCGGTCAACGTCTTCCTGCTGGGCACTGCCGGAAACCTCTATGTATTCCAGCGCATGGGCTTCCCGCTCGAGCGCGTCATGGGTGCCAAGGACGGCGACCTCCCGACGGCGTGCGGCCTCGGCTCCTTTGCAGCGCTCCTCTTTGCCATACTCGGGCTGCTCTACATCGCCTTTCGCCGCAGCCTCGTGCTTGTTATGGCCAAGTTCCACGAGGTCGCGCTCGTCTTCTACTGCCTCGTCGTGCTGCTCTTGCTCTTCGCGCCGTTTGATGTCTTACACCGGCGTGCGCGCATGTTCCTCGGCAAGAAGCTCTACAAATGCGTGTTTCCGCTCTCTTGGAAGGGCACAGCGACGCTGCGACTGCCAATGACCGAGACGCCATTTGTCGAAGTCTTTCTCGCCGATGGGCTCACGTCCATGTCCAAGGTCTTTTACGACGTTGCGGTCGGCGTCCTCATGCTCATGGAGTCACTGGACGGGCGCCATTCCGACTGGTACGACGCCAAGATGAAGCCACACCCGCTGCCGTATCTCTGCGCAGCGTGGCCGTACCTCATTCGCGCGACACAATGTCTCATCTCCTATCGCCGCGCACCCCTCGCCAACGACAAGTTCTTGCATCTCCTCAACACGTTCAAGTACGGCACGGGCCTCGGCGTCATCGTCGTCGGCGCGCTCCCTGCGATCTTCGGCACAGCACCTGCAAGTACGAGCTTTCTCGTCCTCGACGGACAGACCATGTTCCTACTATGTGCGTGCTGTAACTCACTCTACTCGTTCTTCTGGGACGTCGTCATGGACTGGGGGCTTTGCCAACCAGCTCCCGCGCCGAGCCGAGACCTCGAGAGCCACGTCGTCACGCCAGTGCAGCACTACCCATACCTGCGTCAGGAGCTCCACTACAAGAGCCCGTTTGTGTATTACGTCGCGATGGGTGTCGACGGCGGCCTTCGCATTCTTTGGGCAACGTCCAACTGGGAGTGGGTCGACCTCGTCGGCGCCGAGTTCAAGGTGGTCATGCAAGTCGCAGAAGTCCTTCGGCGCTGCATGTGGAACTGCTTTCGTGTCGAGTGGCAGTGTCTGAAGCACGGCTTTGAGCTCCGGCCGGCCGACACCCAGAAAGCTCCTAGTCTGCTTCGGAGCCTCAAGCCAAAAAATAGCAATGACAAGCTCAATGTGCTCGAAGAGACAATGACGACGCTGGACGCCGACAGCGATGCCGACGACGATGTTGACGACACTAGACCTCTGCTTCACCACCAGCCTCTGAGCCCACGCAAACATGCCACCAAGCCTTCGGACGACCGGCAGCTTGTGGCGTAGAACGATAGGGTATTTAAGGCATTAGAGTCAAGCTTAATGGCCCTCGGAGGCCTCGACTGCCTTCTTCAGCGGTGTTAAGAGCACTTGAAGATCGTCCGCCAAGTCGAGAAACGCACCGACGGTCGCCGTGTCTTGAGCAATGAGCGTCGTCACGAGCGGAAGGTGGTTCAGATGAATAAGCACCGTGTCGTCGAAAAAGCACGTGACAGACTTCATTGCGCCAAACTGGAGCTTCCCCGCCTAGCAGAAACTTTGGTCGTCACATCCAGCACCGAGACCCAACCTGCTCGGCGGCGGCAGCAAAGACGCTCGGAAGTACCGTCTCAGCATCCTCAAGCGGGTGCTCAGCTTCGCCCTCGGGCTCAACTACGGCGAATCAGGTCCTGAATCAACGGCGCATTGTACGCACCGCGCAGGAGCGGGACGCCCTCGGACGTCGAGACGAGGATCGCCGTGAGCGATTCGTACCTACGATGGTTCAAGATATGGGCGCCGAGAACGCAAGCCTAGGCTACCGCTCGAGGAGCACGCGCAACTTCTACGTCCACGCGTGAGCAGTCATGACGACGGACAGTCGTACGGAGGTACCTCTTCGACACCGGCCTCCGACATGGTGCTGGAAATGGACGATGCGAAAATGACTTCACACTATTTCAGATTCAGACTGCAGCATTACCGAAGTCATGTATGAACATCGAATAGTGTCACTCATGTCAAGCGCACACGGGTGCGCAAACTTGCACGATGGTCGATAATTTACGTCTATGCGTACATGTTGTAGTGAGAAGTTTATCGCAGCACGTAGTCTTCGCAGCGTACTACGTCAGGGTTGTTTTTGCCTTTCGTCGAGCAATCACGGGCGCACCGACCGATACCGAGGATACCGAACCATTGGTGCAGCTCTCATCACTACAAGCTCAACTGGGGTTGCGAAGTCAACTACAATACTAAGCTTAGTGTAGCTGACTTTGCAATCCCAGTCGCGCTTGTAGTGAGGTGGGGCCTTTAATCGGTCTCCTGAGGGGCACCGGTTTGGGCAAACACTGATGTATTGTAGCAAACCCATGTCAGAGAGGAGAATCAGTTGAAGTTTTACAAAAAGCTCTCGATCAGCAAACGCGCGGCTGGTTGCTTGTGGCAGCCTCGTCGGCAGGCAAGCCTGGATGCACTGGTTGGGTGCGCTCGACAATCACTCTTCTGTGGCACGCGCTGCCACGTCATTTCACACCTAAAACACGAAAAGCACACCAAACACCAATATGCGCGAAAACAACCCAAGGGCCTGGTATTCCGAACTCAGCGTTAGTAGCTGAAGTAAACTTTCAGAAACGTACTTACTTTTGACCGCGCGCTGCTCTTGGCCGACGAACGTCATCCATGCGAGTACGCCACTCGGTCCACACGCCCACGTGGATGATTTTGATTTTCTCACACCAGTGACAATCATTTGCTAAATCTTGGCCGACAGAATGTATGCTGCATGGCCTCGGCTGGTCTGAGGGGCTCATTTACCAATCGTCCGTGCCCGATCGAGCAGCATGGTTACCTTTGCCGTCTCGTCCGTCGAACTCTCTGCCTACAACGGCGAGGTCAGCCAAAATGTACCGATCACGTCATGCAAGGAGTTCAAGAAGGAAGGCTGCAAGGACATCATCCAAGCGACGCCCGTGAAGGTCGCGGTGGCCGCGTCGACGAGTGGCTTCGTCCGCGGTGCTATCCAGGCTTACAATCGCCACCACAACCTCGTGCTTCGACCGGACGACATCTGGCTCGCGATCATGGTCCAGTTTGGCTTGTACGTGAACGGCAACGCCGAAGAGCTCCGATCGTTGCTCGTCAAGCACGACGGCCAGAAGGAGCTCGTCGTCACCACTGCCGGTAGTCTCTACACGGTCGACTTTGGGCAGCTGTCCAAGCAAATGATCGACCAAATGGAAGAGCATCTCGTGGAACCGGCGCTCAAGGAGTGGGTGCTTCCCGCCTTCTCGACAACAACGGACCACGACACGATCGTCGCCAGCGTCGTGCTCATGGCGTCGATGAAGAAGTACTTCAGCTACAAGTTTGGTCTTTGCTGCGGTATCCCCGAAGTGACGCTGGAGGGTACCGTTGTCGACTGGGAAGATATCCGCACCCGCGTCGACAAGTTTAAGACATTTGGCGGGCCGTTGTCCGAGTGGTCGGTAATGCTGGCACCGATTCTCGATCAATTTGTCGTCGCTGCCAAGGGCCATGCCGACGCTGACTTTTGGAACCGCATCTGCCACCGCATCGGCGGGGGCTCTGGTCCAAGCTACATCAGCGGCTGGCTCAGCGTCTTTTGCGCGTTCAACGAGGACGGCAAGTGGCAAGGCGATAAGAAGACAGTGCACTTGTACTACGGCGAGGACGTCGAGAGCGAGTTCCCGATCGTCGATACGAGCGACATCCCGCCAGGGTACCTTACTGTCGACGTCAAGATTGACGACAACGGCACGCCCTATGACGCACTCATGTTTGCGGGGCATATGGCCTTTGCTGTCAGTGACGACAAGACAACGCTCACGCCAGCGCTGAGCTGGGCTATTGCCCTCAAGAACGGCGAGCCCGAGCCCGAGCAGCAGCGCATGTAAAGACGATTCTAGCTTGCCATGATGTGCGTCTAAC